ATGTTGTTCTGTGTGTACAAACACACATGGGTCTAGAAAGATGACTCAGTAGTTAAGAGACTCAGTAGTTAAGAGACTCAGTAGTTAAGAGACTTGTTGCTCTTGCAGAGGGCAAGGGTTTAGTTCCTAGCACCCATGTGGTGGCTCACCACCATCAGGAGGATCTGATATCCTTTTCTGATCTCAGTGGGCAACCTTGCACGCACATGGTACACATACATACATACATACATACATGAAGGCAAAAACTCACACATGTAAAATAAAGTTTAAAAACTGTTTTAAAAAAACACTCACACATATTGTCTTACAATCTCTCAGGAGACCGTGGCCACAGAGGCCCACAGACTGAGGGCTAGCAGCAAGGCAAAAGTATGGGAGGTGGTACCTTCCCCAAGCATGAGCCTGGAGCGTAAGCACCCCTCCCTCCCACTCCCTTCTCTTTCTGCTCCCTGTGGCCCCGCCCCTTCTCTAAGCCCTGCCCCTTCTCTAGCCACTGCAATAAAACCTGATGCTGTGATAGGAGAATGTGCTCCCATCTGAAGAAATTGACTCATGCAAATGCATCCAGGCAGACATCCTTAACCGGACCTCAGCCACCTGCTGTATTTACTCCTGCTGAGCCTAAGACTGGCCGTTCTGTTATCCTCTGTGGAAGACTGTATAGAGGCTACTGGGCTAACCTTCAAAGCAGTCATTTCGGGGGAGACCTTCAAGGTGTCCTCCTTGGAGTTAGGGCAAGCACATCACTCTTGTCTCAGTCTTCAAGGACAAGGCATATGAAACGTCTAGGGAGGCAGAGCCATGTCCCTTGAAACCAGCATTTCAAGGGGGTAGTGATGCCCACTAAGAGCTCCTGGCCAGAGATCTGGGAGAAGGAAGACATTTGCTTCAGTGTCCCTTCCAGCAGGGGAAGGAAGGGGACCACCCTGCCAGCAGCCCTGACCTCTATGCCTCCGAATACCAAGAAGGAGAATGGTGGTCTCGTGCCTGGCTCCCAGGCCCAGGATCTAAGTAGGGTCTGCACCCAGAACAGGACAGAAGGTATGGTCGAAACTTTGAGAGATAATCAGCCCCAGTGGGCTGCTGTGGGGCTGCTCCACAGGCAGAGCAAACACCCAAATGTAAGAGGGGGGAGAGATGGATTCAGAGATGGAGACGCAGAGAAAGGAAGATACAGACAGGGAGAGTGGCAGAGAGACAGAGGAGGAGAGCTATGCACATATGCAGAGATGATCAGAGACAGATAAGGCCAGAGATAGCGACAACAGAGACAAACGGACTGGGTTATACTGTTCCCTGTCCCACCCAGCACAAAGGCCAACTAGAGGCAGCACACCTTCCAGAAGAGCCTCTGCTGTCATCTGCTCCCAGCGTCTCGGCTGTGGGGCTTATCATATTGGCAGAAGTGTTTACTGCAGCCTTATCAACAATCTCAGAGCGCTTCAAACTCCTTCAATAAACTGCAACCTTCCTGAGCAGCCCATGACAGCGGGTGGGTGGCTGTAAATCTCAGGGCATCAGCCCAGAGGAATATTACACTGCCGTCAAAGGTGGTAATTATGAAGACTACACCTGCAGAGGAAATTGCTGACAGCAAGGCTTTGGAGCTGGCAGGGCACAGGATTTATCTGAGCCGTGAGCCCTACAAAGGGAAGCTGGTGACTACGGGTCTGTGAGAAAGATGCGGGCTAAGGAAGCTAGCCTGTCTTCCAGGGAGGAATTTTCTCATCCTTTTATCTTTATCTCTGCGTGTATGGCTTGCCCAATAAATAACGTCTTTCTTATCATAGGACCATGTTCCAGTAAATGAGGTCTGCAGCTCGAGTCTCCCGCCCTAATTCCCACCCACGGACACGCCATCCAACCAGAGAAAATGAGGGGACCACGTGGGGCTCACAGCCTCCCAGGACCGAGAGGGTAAGGCCACACAGCCTGAGACATTACCTCTGGAGGCATGGGCTGCTGTTGGGAGTAGGAAGAGAGGCAGGGGCCAGAGGAACAGACAGGATCCCTGTCTTTGCTTTCAAATTATCCTCTGTCCCTGGAACTCTGGGAAATGGCCTGGAGCTGGGCAGGAAGCAGAGAAATGGTCCCATTTTGAAGGGTTCGGTTTTGGCAAGGCACTGGGTGTGGCATAACATAGCCAAAGGCACAAGAGGATGACAGAGGCCAGGCTCTGTTCTGCACCAGGCCAGGGGCCACAGCATGAGAGGACAGAGATATGACAATCAGACTGAAGAAATCGAAGGGACAGGGAAGGATGCTGGGTAGAAATGGGGATGGGGGAGAGCCATGGATATCTGCGAAGCTGGTTAGCTCAGGGATGAGCTGTCAGCAATGAGAAGGGTGCAGACACGGCTGGTCGAGGCTGGTAACAGCTCAGTCCAGGAGCAAGCAAGAAGACAGGAGAGGGGAGAGAATCAAGGAGCAAGAGAGGGGTTCCAAGTCAGAAGGAGCCCAAACCTATGACACCGAGGCTCTGTTGACCCTAAGGTTGCTGCCAGGCCAAGGAAGAGGCAATGATATACCAGGCTAACCTTAGCACAGTCAGCCATGGGTGGAGCAGGGCAGACCCGAGGGGCTTCTCATCAAGTTGTGCATAGTCCAGTACCCTGCCAGAGGCAACTTTAAAATGGCCCTGGCTTCCCTGTGCTTTGTCCTACCAACAGCCTGCTGTCCCAAGTTGGAGATGAAGACCCTGAGGTTCACAGGAGCTGAAACCCCAGGGTGACTGCAGTAGGGTAGGAAGGTAGCCCCTGGGCATGTAGTATGTGAAGGCTGCCTTCCTCTACCTCTCAGTTACCCTGAAGTGCTACCTAGGTGAAGGGAGGGAGAGGTTCATATAGGATAGACCCTAGCCTGCAGGTTGACTATAGCCATCAATCAGCTCTGGTTACTACCTTGGCCTGGGGCTCCACCGGAGGAAACTTAACACACTCTGGTCCCTAAACCAAGGTCGCTTCCCTAAGTCCCAGCTTCCCCCTCACAAACCCTCCAGAGGTTTGAGCAATAGCCTGGCACCTGGGCTAATGTACATAAGTTGAGGGGAGCAGGGAGGTACACTTCCTCTCAGAGGACCCAACAATCACTGAGGCTGCAAGGCCAGGTCCTGAGTTGCCTGGCAATCCCTGTCCAAGGGACTGTGTCAGCGGCTAAGTGTGTCTCAAGCCAAGCACATGGTACAGGGCAGTTGTTTGAGCTCTGTACCTGGTCACTAGGCTCTCAATGCCTGGGCCCTGTGGTCTCTGAACTGTAACCTCAGGGGTCAATGTGGCTGTGTGCAGGCTGTCTTCAGTTGCTGAGGTTATCTCTGGCATCCATAGTCTGCAGCTGTCATCCCTCTGTGTGTGGATACCTTCCCTCAGAACCCCTGGGACTGGCAGGGGGACACAGCCTTGGATGAAGCATGGGTCTCCCAGGTACTGAGATCACTCAGAACTGTCCAGGTTTCATTCTGTAGGAGCTTGGGAGGTTGGTGGCTGGTCCTGGGGTCTCCGTGCTCCTCTCTGCTCCTCCGCAGCAGGTCTGTCATTGTCCAGCAGCCTATGGTAAAACTGGGTTTACCTGCAAGGGGGGCTGGAAATGAAAAAGAGGAGGGGGTGGCGAGAAAAGACTGAAGCCAAGACAGGGTTCTGATCAAGGCTCCAAGTCTGATAACAAGCACTGCGTTTATAAAGGGAAAGCCCACAGAACCCATCCATTGTATCCACCAGAGTATGTTGCAGAGCAAGGTCAGCACGGCAGCCAAAGCAGCTAAGTTCTCATGGGAATTCACAACCGCAGCCAAGGCAGATGTCTCTGTCCAGGCCGATAAGGTCTGTGGTGGCAAGCACTCAAGATCTGTTCAGCCTGCTCAAGGCTGGGGAGGCCACAAGGTCCTCTGTGTTAAGCCCAGAGGAGTCTGCAGACACCACAGCCCAGGATGCCAGTCTCAAGCAGGAAGGGCTCACCGTCCTCTCTTCCCCATTCCCACTCTAGGATGGTGACAGGAAGTGCCCTCCCTCTATCCTGAGACCCAGACGGCAAGAATGTGGATATCACGGGGGTGAGACACAGAGAACCACCAGGCATGTGCGGTTCCGAGAGCCCCTGGAGGTGGCTGTCCACTGTAAGAGGGGCCAGGGGCTTTGATGTGAGCGTCTGGGTGGGGTGGGTGGGCAGGTGCCATTGAAACTATGGCATCATCTAAGGCCATCTATTCCTTATTCTGTCTTCCCAGACAGAATCCCAGTGAACCTGTAAATGGGGTCATGGGGACAGGCCATGGTCGGTGGGACAGCACCCAACAGAGGAGAATGTAGTTGTGGCCTCTCCAGCACTGCCCTCTAGGGAGAGGCCAGGTTCTGTGTATCTCATTTCCCAGGCCAGGCCAGCGACGCTTGTTCAGTATCTTTATACGGTGGTGTGGGAGAGCTTGTTTCCTGACTAAACCATCTGTGATCTCCTTCCCAGACATCGCCCGCAAGGACACAACAGCCGCCATCAAAGGTGAGTTCTGAGAAGGAGCTCCCATTGGCCAACAGGTCCTAGGCCTCCACCTCCACAAGGCAGAACTAGACACAGCCTCAAGCACACCCCTGTCCCCATAGCCCAGCCACTCTAGACCCTGACTCAGTCTCCCCTGACAGCCCTAGACGTGATCCCATCCTTATGGGGCCAAGCCCCAGGTTCCTCGCATGTGGATGGGCAGAAGCACTCCTAAATGGTGCAATCTTCCTTAGGCAGGTGAGGACAAGAGTCCCTGTCCCATGGATTCCATGAGACCCACCCCAGGGCCCTATCTGACCATCACCTTGATGGTCAATTACAAGTTGACAACTACAGCCAGACAACTCAAGTCTCCCTCCATATCAGCCCCACCAGCAGAGGGTGCACTTTGAAGGGTCTCACTGGGGGTGCTGTTGGACTGACCTGTCACCCTCCTACAGTCCCCAGCCGATCAGCTTCCCATGGTGGCTCTCTGCTTCAGCCAGCATCCTGCAGTGGCTCCTTATTCCTGTGGCTGATTCTGTGTGTTCTGCTTGGAGTGGTGCTGTGCCTGTACTGTGGCCAGGCCAAACATGTCACAGTAGCCCTGGAGGACCTCTGGGCTCAACTCCTCGTCCTAATCTTGCGCCTGTGGCATGTGGTCCTTGCCTGTTGGCACTGCCTCCTGCAGCTCCTGACGCATGACTGAATGGTGATTTCACCTCTGGAAAGCACTGGAGCAAGTTGATGCTGTTGGGGACCCGGAGTGGTTTGGGGGATTGTGCATGGTGGGGGAGCCCAGGTATTAAGGCTAACCCAGGACAGAGCTCTGTTACCTGATTCTTGACAAACCCAGGAACTCCAACAGGCTGCTGGACAGGTTTAGGTGGGAAAAGAGGGAGGCTCTGGTTTGACGATACAGGCATCTCCTACTCCAGTCAGCACGGGCTGGGATCTTGGGATTTTAAGACTGAATCAGAGAAAGAACTCAACTATTATAGCTGAGGGATTCCTATGTTCTTGCCCAGTCCTCCGTCTTGGGAGCCATAGCCTGGATGTTACCATACATAGCTCTTTGAGTGTGAGCTTCCCCTGCCTCTGAGGGGTGCTTGGGAAGGCAAGCCCCAACCTCCTGCTGCTTTGAGGACTGGGCCCAGTTTTTGCTACACTATCAGGAGATAGGGTGCCTCCCCCTGCAGTTCATGGAGCCCGTGAGAATCGTGGTTTTTTTCTCTGAGCCCCAGGTCTGAATTCCTCCACTTAATACCAAGCTCAGTCAGGGGTCACTGTGGTGTGGGAACAGAGTCCAGCTCTGAACCAGTTGCTCTCAGAACAAGTGTGGCACCAAGGTCCTACTTCTGGGGTCACACACAAGCCCACCAGCTGCAGGACCTGTGAGTCTCCTGAACCCCTGGAAACACAATTCTATTACTCATGTTGAAAGGCAAAGGGAATCAAGCACATAGGAACAGCTTCAGGACATCCTAGATCTGCCTGGAGGGGGAGCCCTGAGCACAGCAGGGAGGCCCAGTCGGACACCAGGAGGATCCACCAGGGGGACCCTGCACCACCCTGGAACAAACAAATAAGCAAGGTTTGGTGGCCAGGGTGAGACCTGGGGTTGTCTTCTTAAGGTGCCCCTCGACTTAAGTGGGCAGATGGAGATCCCATATTAAAATACCTGCAGCCTCTTCAACCTCGGGATTATTACAAAATGAGCAGAGTGAGACACTTGTTGAGGAATCTCCCCCAGGTCCAAACACATTAGTCTAGGTAACAGAACACACCTCTACCCTTCCACCCACTCTCCCCCACAGCCCATAGGTCTCTTGCAGCTGACATTCACAAGAAGCTAGGGGGACCCACCATGCCTCCAGGACTACATCCTCCCCAGCAAGACATGCCAAGACTCCCAGATCACTGAGGTGCCATCTGCCCTTCTCTGGCCTTCAGATGCCCCATAGAGTGATTTCCAGCTACAAAATTTGGGGGCACGGTAGGGGAGAGTCCAGTGGAGAGAAACCCTGCTTCTAGAAGCGGTCTAATAAGGAAAACCTGCAAAGGCACTCACCAGGATTGGCCCTCAGCATGGTTACTGTTGCCTGCACCAGTCCATCTACCCCAGGACCTGTTCCCTCCCATCCTACCCTGGCCAAAGACAGGCTTGCTATTGGCTTGTATTCCAGAGATGGAAACAGACACTTAGAGGTAAGATAACAGAGCCCCAGACCACCCTTCCATCCCCAATTCTGAGAGCGGATGCCCTTCAGGAGGGGGATTGGTCACCCCATGTTTGACAATGGAGAGCCAGGGCTTCCCACCTCAGAGCCAGCATTTGCTGCAAAGGCCACAGAAGAAGTATGCTCCACTCGCTCTCTAAGGGCCACAAAACTGCCCCAGCTAGTCCTGGGTTTTGCTTTGCTTTGTTTCATTTTTACAGTGCAAACCCAGCACAGCTAGGCAGAGTCAGCCACTGTTATATCCCCAGCTTTATTCTGACTTAGAATAAATGTTCAAAGACATACGCAGAGATGCATGTGCCCCAGAGGTGTCACCAAAACCCATCCTCGTGCCCAGGGTGGGGATGTGTGGGAATGGTGGGGGGAGCTCCTTACAATGCACAGGCATGAAGGACCACCCCGTGAGCCCTGGAATCAAACAGACTGTTTAAGTCCTAAACAAACAGCTAAAGCCTGCGAGCCAGTGGGGAGGGATTGGGGACCGGAGGTGGGGGCCTGAAGTGGACTGGCTGGCTAGCAAAGACACAGACATCTCATCCATACAGCATCTCGGATGTTTCGTCTTTATTTTATTTTGACTTGAGGATCAGACACATGGAGGTACAGGACTTATCACCAACAGCTTCTCCAGGAAAACTGAAACCAGGGCTTCCCTGTAGCAATCTGGAGGGGAGCAGAGGGGTCTTGCAGGCAACCTGGGGACCATTCTGCAGCCTCTGTCTGCCTCTTGCCATCCCTCCCATAAGACCCCTCTTGGAAAGACACCCCTGCCCATGGCTACAGCCAACAGGTCCTGCTAACACTCCTAGGCCAGGAGTCCCTGGGACATCAACATCTGGGCAACAGGTCTAGGCGTCTAAAGGTCTCCAGACCAGACCAGAGCCCAGACTAACTCTCCAGAATCCACAAGAGACAGCTGCCAAGGGCAGGCCCACACCTGAGGCAGATCCTAGGTCCCAGAGGCCCTATCCAGCCTCCTGTTCCTTCGGGTCCTAGATGGCTACGGCCTTAGTAAGGACGTGGGACAGATGAGAGAGCCAATCCTGGGGAGACAGAGGAGGAGTCTCAAGGCTAGACAGTGTCCCCCGTGTCCCATATATCAGGGCTTGTGTGAGAGTCTGGAAAAGAGACCAGATCAGTTTGGAGACCACAAAACACTACTTCAGTACCCAGATCCTCTGCAAGGAGCTCAGCCAGGCCACAACAAAGCCCTCAGAGAAGGCTGGAGTGTCAGTTGGCCTGACCCTGACCTCCCCAGATAGGTACCCCCTTGCAAAGCACCCTGACCTGGCTTCAATTTTTAGGGCCCATCTCTCTCTCTCTCTCTCTCTCTCTCTCTCTCTCTCTCTCTCTCTCTCTCTCTCTCTCACACACACACACACACACACACACACACACTCCTCACAGTGGGCCTAGAAGCTAATGCCTTTCACCCGGAAACACACCAGCCACTGGTGGACACTGGACTTGGACACAGGTCAGAATCACCTTGCTTGGAAACAGGGGACAGCGTTGGAGCACAACTTCAGACTAGGGCCAGAACACTGAATGCACTCACTGAGATTCAGATGGGTGGGACCTCTTCTGCCACGAGGGCCACACCCTTGCAATACAGAGAACCGTACCACCGAGAAAGCCTAAAAGGGAGGATGGTGGGACTCTCCCACTACAGCTAAGCAGCCCAGATATCCTCTCAGAGCAGGGGACAGAGCCCAGCCCAGGGTTCCACATACCGACTAGGATCCTCCACCTGCTGCCTTCTCGTACCTTCTGGGGACCTTAGCTGAATGCTGTGGGATGGGAGGACGGCCCCTTATGGGAGGGGCAGGGACTGTGGTGGTGCAAAGGCTGCTAACCTGACATTGTCACCTTGGTTCTGCAGTCACACTCCCATGCACACACATGCTTACATACACGCACACATATGGGCAAATGACCACACGAGAGAAGGAGTGTGCATCACACTAACCAAGGCCAGGACTGGAAGCCAGAAGCCACCCCCTCCCCGAGTCTCTGGGTCTCTGCCCCATCACTGTCAGGATCTCCATGGGAACGGGTGCTCTGCTCACGGTGGGCGGGGCCAAGAGACATGCAGAGCTGTGTTGGCCAGCCTGGGTGGGTCCCCAGGCACCCCCTCTCATGCAGGCCTCAGGAAAGGGGGCCACCCTTCCACGGCCTAGATGACAGCACTCTTCTCCCCCTGGAAGGAGGTGCGGGAGGCTGGCCTGGCCAGCAGAAGCTCCTTCTCATGAACCAGGCTGTCCAACAGGTCCTCCTGGCGGTAGTTGTGATAAACTTTGAGGAAAGCCAGAGTGGTGATCGCCAGCCAGGCCAGCCAGGAGGCCCAGAGTCCAAACTGCATGGAAGGCAGAGCAGTGTCAGGGAGTGTGGCTCATTGCCCAGTGTGCTCAGTCCCTGCTTCCTCACCTCCTCCCTCTAGATCTACAGGGAAGGGAAGGGAAGACTAAGAGAGGAGGAGGCAGCAGGGACCTGAGAGCACATGCACCCCCACATTTGGCCTGTTCTCTGCAGTGATCGTTATGTTCTATGCCCACAAGAACCCAGCTCTGTGCAGAGGCTTGGGGTACTCGGCCATTCTCACCTGAATTGGTGAGATCCCTTGAGGAGGAGAAGGAGGACCTGGGCAGAGCTCTTCTCCCACCGAGACTCTGGGCTCTAAGGAAGGCCTATAGATCAGGGAGCCCCTCTAGTCAGGGGAATAAATTGACCTTTATCTGCTGTTTCCAAACAGCTGAAGGAGAAACAATGTAATCAGCTCCAGGTCTGCACTGCATCAAACCAATTCTCATTTGAGCGTGCGGGTCCTCAGATTGCGCATGCCTCTGTCTAATTCGTCCAAATTAGCTCTAAAGCATCTTAAGCTAAAGTTGGCGTGAAGGTCTCTTTGACAGTTTCAGCTCATCTCTGCAAAGAACTTTTGGACTTCCAAGGGTGTTGGTAGTGACAAGAATAATCTCAGTCTAGCATTTGACAAACCAGAGCCTCCAGAAGCCAGCATGGAGCATGGACGGGTGTCATGGAGGATGAAAGCCACAGGCAGTATGGGAAGGGACAGGTGTCCATGCCCCACCTAAGTGCCCCTAGACTGAACCACCTCCGACTGGGGCACAAACGCAAAGTTGAGGGACAGGAAAAGCCTAAAGTTTTCCCAGGGCGTTCCAGGTTCCCAAAGTCACATGCAAGGTGAGTTGGGTTCTCCTTAGGGCAGACCCCTCATTTCACCCTCAGACATGGCAGCAAGTGGCTCAGGGACCCTCCGACATTCCAGGAATGGAACCAGACCAGAATCTGTCCCACTAGCAACCACGGATTCTAGACCCCATTTTCAGCACTTCCTGCCGCCCCTCTCACTCCCTCTTCTTCCCTCCCAGTCACCCAGCACTTTCTCTGGCTCCTGAGCTCACTTCTCAGTCTGCCCTTGCCTTCTCTTGTCTCCTGCCTCCCCTACCCGTCCCCACCTCCACCCCGCACGCCCCCAACACACAAGTCCTGCTCAGAGAACTCTGCTCTCCCACCCTCCCCTGGGAAATCTCCTCCTGCTTCCACAGCCTGCACCTCCCCGGTATGATCCCACCATATCTGAGTCTGTTTCCTTGCCTGGGATCGGTCAAGTCTCACCCCGTCCCTAACTCAGCCATTCTCTTCCGGCCAGAGACAGACCCCGCCTACCTGGGCGATTGCAAACTGATGGTAGAAGGCAGAGTTGTCCACGTTCAGCTCCAAGTCCGTTTCCTGGAACTCCTCGCAGCTAAAATAGCATTAAACCAAGTGGCTGGTGACTTGTGAGCCCCCGAGCCCCCGAACCCCCGAGCCCCCGAGCCCCCGAGCCCCTGAGTCAAAAGGCAACTGAGCATCCGGCTAGGAAGCAGAGAATACTTCCCTTAAACAGTGAGTGGTGTCTTAGATCAACCTGACACAGGCTAAAGTCATGAGAGGAGGGAACCTCAGTTGAGAAAATGCTCCCATAAGACCAGGCTGCAGACAAGGCGGTAAGACATTTTCTTAATTAGTGATTGGTGGAAAATAGCCCAGCCCATTGTGGGCGGGGCCACCCGGCTGGCTGAGCATGAGGAGCAAGCCCATAAGCAGTACCCCTCCAGCGGCCTCTACATCAGGTTCTGCCTCCAGGTTCCTCCCCTGATTGAGTTCACATCTTGACTTTCTTTGATGACTAACTGTGACATTGAAGCGTAAACTGAATAAACCCTTTCCTCTCCAAGCTGCTTTAAAGGGTCATGGTGTTTCATTGCAGCAATCATAACCCTAAGACAGAGGGGGCAGTCCCCAAAGGGAAAGATGGAATTCCACTGGGAGTCAGCTTTGACCCCTCACTGGGAAGAGCAAGACAGGCTTCAAAGAAGAGGAGCTAAAGACCTTTCCAACTGAGCACAAGGGCTAGCCTCAGCTATCTTATTACTTACTGTCTGTCTGGCACTCAGGGTCATGAGCTGCTCTGTCTAGTCAGACCTTTAGTTCTCAGTCTGAGATGGACGTGATGCCCCTGAGGCACACTGTACAGTGTCCCTGTATAAGTGTCATGGGGACATCACGAGGGCAGCCTCTACTCACCAACCGCAAACTAACCTCGCTGCCACAGTGGAGTTAGCTTCAGAGGGAGCTGAGGCTAGCAAGTGAGCCAGGCGGTGTCAACTAGAGTCCCGCCTGGTGCCTCTTGGCTCACCTTCCATGTGTGATGCTGTAGGCTGCTAGACCAAAGAGGTGCCTGACATTGAGTGGGCGTGTCTTAGGGACAAGGCAATGGGGGTGGGGGGTAGGGGGGGACAGGTGGGCAAAGCCTCTGATTCAGAATGGGATTCAGGAAGAAAAACATCTTGGGACCCAGATAAGGCAGGACGAGGCATACCTGTGGGGTGTGGAACCCTTCTCAGTGATGGTGTCACACCACATAGTGAAGCCCACACTCACGATGGTGCTGGCAATGAAGACCAGGAAGACCACAAAGGCACTGACCAGGAGGTTCAGGAAGGCGTAGAAGAAGGAACTGCAGAGGAGTCAAGAGATGGAAGCTGAGGGAGCTACCCAAGGTCTGACCCCAAATAGCTCCCCTTGAAACAGGGATGGGAGATGTCCAGGTTTTCTGGTGAGCACCTGGGGCCCTGATGGGACTGAATGGGGCTCAAAGGGCTGCTTCTGTCTCCTCTGCTGCCGCCCCTGCAAATGTCCCGATGCCGAGCAGCCATCTTGTTCTCTCATACACTAGGAGTTGGGGACTTGGCACCATTGATGTACTGGAGAATCAGGGCCAA